AGTGTCTACCCTGAGTTTCCTCACCTGTAAAGTTGAGATGATACTGGTACCCACCTCGTAGGGTCTTCTGGGGTATAAATGAGCATTTATAAGCACAGCCCTCCTCGAGTGCTATTTAGATGTTAATTATTGCCATCAGTATTGCATCTATTATGTCTATGCAGGGCTCTGCTGCCAGGCCTCTGCATGAATTAACTCCCGGATTCCACACGGTGCCCTAGGCAGGCGCCGAGCTTCCCACCATCCCCTCTCTCCCCATGAGATAAACTCACTGTCCCCCTCACAGAGGAGGAATCCCCTGGCGAGGGAGGTGCAGAGGGGTGTGAGGGACGCTAGGAAGGAGAGGAGAAGGAGCAGGCACCTCCTGGAGGGCCCCCTTTCCTCCCAGAGCCACCTCCCCGGACTCACTGATCCCCCCAAGAAAGGGCCCCAGGCCCTCCTGGGACGGCCACGATTGTCACAGAAACTAGCCCCTCCTTGTTGCTTTTCTGGTCAGCAGCTCCTCTGTGGAGGGCCTGTGAGTGGTTCACTGAGGTGTCCATTTCAAGAAAGGCTGGTGTGTATGTGTGTGTGTGTGTGTGTGTGTGTGTGTGATCCATGTGGGTGTGTCAGTGTGTGAGTGTGTCTTTCTGTCTGGGTTTTGCTGAGTGTGTGTGACTGTGTGGATGTCTTTGTGTGAGTGTATGTTTGTGTGTGTCTGTACTGCGACTGTGCCTTTGTGTGTATGTTTCTGTATGTGAGTGTGTGTTTCTGTGTGTGTTTGTGTGAGTGCTTCTGTGTGTGACCATATTGTGAGTGTGTCTTTCTGTCTGTGACTGTGTGTGTCTATATGTGTGCTTGGATAGGCTCTGAGGTGACCATAGTGGCTGACTGAGGTCAAGGCACCCCACACAGTTCAGAGGCTCCAGGGAGAAAAAGCAGTGGTAAGCAATTGTGGTTTTGCCCTGTACTATTTTTAAAGTTTAAAAAAACAACCAGCGGAAACTCATAGCCATTTAATAGCTAGGTCAGATTTAGATAAAGCCCAGGCCCAGGGCTGAGGGACTGCTGGCGTGACGGGGCAGGCTGAAGACACCCTGCTGTCTCCTGAGCCCCCAGGACACTAACAGCAATACGAACCACACCACCCACCGTGCAGAGGAACCACACCACCCACCGTGCAGAGGAACCACACACACCACCCACCCGTGCAGAGGACGCCCACCATCTTCCCCTGGGCCTCCTTACGATGACCTGTGTGTTTGTCACACAGGTGTGGTTTGTCATTCCCATTCACAGATGAGGAAATCGAGGCCCCTGGTGTCAAGGACTTTCCAAGGTCACTTCACGAGAAAGTGACAGCTGGGGTTTGAACCCAGTCCTTCTTCCAGGTTCAGACAGGGCTGGCAGCCTGGTCTACAGACTCAAGACAGGGACGGGCAGCGTACATGGTTCTGCCCCCAAAGCCCCCACATTTTGCATAACTCTGCGCAGCACTCCCTCCTCCATCCCCCCATTCTTAATCTCCAATCAAGTGCTTTAAAGTGAGGGCGGAGCAGGCCGTTGACTTCTCTAACCACTGATTTTCCATAAAGAAAAAGGTTTCCTTCAGAAAGATCGATTAAAACAAAATACTTTAAGAGAGAGGAAAGTTCTCTTGCAATATCAGTGTAACCCACGCCTCTAACCACTTCCTCGCCATATCAGCAACTCTGGCTTTTTATAGCAGATGATGATGTTGAAAACATTAGAGAGCCCCATCCTGAAATCCACATGTCCTCACAGCCCACCTGTGGGCAAAGCCAGCTCAGCGGCCAGCCTCAGCATCCTGCAGTTTGCCTGCTCAATTTGCCATTTAGAACACGGGGCTTTGACCCTGAAGACCTTGAGCAAGTGTTTGTGTGTGTGTGTGTGTGTGTTGTAGCTTAAGACAAAGTATATCCAGTGCTTCTCAGAAAAGCTGTCCCCCTCATCATTGGAAAGATAAACCTGCGGGCACGGGAACCCCACACTAGGGCTAAATTATCTTGACCCTTGTCCTTCGTCAGCCTCGCTGAATTCCCGGCCCTGGGCTGGCTGGCTATTTTACTCTCATTGCTTTGTGTGTCTTGCAGCAAACCCAGCGGATCGCCGGAGACTCTGAGCTTATTTATCTAAATGGGTTGAGGGCAGAAAACCAATGTAGCCTGCCCATCCTTGTCCCGAGTCCGTAGACCAGGCAGCCGGCTCTGCTCTGAGCAGCTCGGAGCTCTTGGAAAGGGCTGCCAGGCACCAGGACGCGCGGCGGCTGTCAGGATCCACACCCTGCATGCTTTCCTCTCCCTCGGCTTAGCTTCCAACTATCCAGCCTCACCTCTGAGTCTAGACACAAGGTCCCACCTTGGTTTAGATAACTAAACAGGGATAATAGTGATAATAGTATCGCCACCTTTCATCAAGAACCTACCGGGTGTACAGGAAGGTTGCCCTCCTAGTGACCAAAGGCTTGGCCTTGGAGCCTGGACTCCCATGTTCAGATCCTGGTTCTGCCTCCAACTGGCCCTGTGATCTTGGGCAAGTCACCACCTCCCTGTGCCTTAACTCCTCCATCTATAAAATGGGATCATAATATCATCTGCCTCATGGGATGCTTGTGAGGCTTAAACTAATATCCGTAAAATGCTGAGGCCGCACAGAAAACGCTCCATCGTGCCTGGCACATGGAGAACACCCCATCGAGATTAGCTCTCGTGATTCTCAGGCATCTCACTGCCAGAGGAACCACATGGAGTTGATACTACTGTGTCCATATTACCCAGGAGGAAAAGGTGTTGGGTAACTTGTGAAGTCATCATTGAAGTTGGAAACCAGATCTGGGGGCTGCATTTAGCTGCTCTGACTGCATTTAGCGTCTGAGATTTGGAGCCTTGACCCTCCTTGTGGAGGGTCCAGGACCAGTCCTGGGTGCTGGGCCCTCTCCTATCCCTTGGGGTATCTGCTCCACCCAGAGCTGCCCTGAGCTCTCAGTCCATCCTGCAAGACGGCCCATTCTCATTGCAGCACCTGTGTTGGCCCATGACCCTTCAGCCCAGACTCTGAAGCACAAAGACCACTGGAATCTTCCAGGGGCAAGGCTGGAATGCGCCCCCTTACTCTAGGATATACATCCAGCTGGGCCTTCAGGAGGATGGGTCCCCTCCCCTCTGGGCAGTTATCTGTTGTCCCTTTTACACAATGAGTAACAGCACCAATGACTCAGGTGAGCATGGGCACCTCACTCTACAGTTTCCAGAATGCTTTCCTCTGTATTACTTCAACCATCCTCTCAAAGACCCAGTGAGAGCGGCACCCTCTCGTATACCCATTTCCTGTATGAGGAAACTGAGCTCTGCGTTTCCGGCATTTTTAGTTTCTGATATTTTTAGCTCAGAGTAGAGTCTAGAATGGAAACATATTCCATGGAGTCAGCCAGATCAGCGGTCTCTTTACACTGGAGGAATAAGGTGCAGTTCAGCTCAAGGATGCACCATATTGTTCTGAATATAGTAACACACAGCATGATGTGGGGGTGGAACACATGGCCCAGAGGTGGGCTTCCTGGGCTGGAGTCCTGGCTCTGCCATTCACCAGCTGTGTGATGCTAGGCAGGACACTGAACCTTTCTGTGCCTTAATTTCCTCCTCTCCAAGATAAGGGGGTAAGTAACATTTACCTCTCAGGGTTGTGGAGACGAATTATAACTACGCCCAAAACTTAGCAAATATTCAATAAATATTAACTATCAATATTATTGTTTGGTGTTGCCAGGCTCCTAGTTCCTCATACGTATTCGATACTTGATAAATGAGAATTTTCCTTTCCTCCTGGAGTCTTAGTTTGCTTGTCTGCAAAATGGGGATGGCAGTTGTACCTACCTCCTATTATTGTTTGGAGGTTACGTGAGACAAAGCAAAGTTCCTGGAGGGTAAGTACCTGGCGGGTGGTCGTAGGCGGGTGGTAAACACTCCTCTCCAGCCCAGCTGCCCCTTGTTAAAGAAGTTGGCCATGGGCCTAGAACCTCGCGCTCTCCACCCAGGGTCTGGAGCACAACAGACAGGAGCCCAGCTACCTGAGTCCGCAGGCGGGCTTGGCCCCTTCCCAGACTTTTGGCTTTGGCCAAGTACCTGGTTTCCCTATTTCTTTATTTTCCTATTTGTAAAGTGAGGCCAATCCCAGCAGCTAATGTACGTAGCTGTTATGAGCATCAAATGGGAGAAGCTCTTGAGTTAATCATCCAAATCAACCCGTGTGACCCCTGATTCCACAGTGGGCAGCAGGAGTCTGACCTGGAGGTGGGGGCGAGCCCAGAGAAGGACCCCGGGATTCTACCCAACACCCTTCTCAGCTCACCTCTTCCACCCTGGGCAGATGACCCAATTCCACCAACCACCCAGGTCCAGAGAGTGGCCTCCTGGAACCCAGGTCCCACCACCTACATTCTTAGGGAGGAAATGCTCCCAGCATTTTAACGGAGACCTATTTTGACTCTGCTGGAACGATTTACTTTCACAATGACTGTGTTTCCATCACCTTCTAGGTGGGCATCTATTTTAAAGTCTGACTCTATCTTAATTGAGCCAGGAAATCTTGCTAGTTAAGGAGCCCCCAGGAGATGGCAGAGGGATGTGGGTCCACCTTTTGCAGAGTTCTCTTCCCAGAGGATAGTTCTAATCCTTGTCCCTGTTCAACCGCCATCAGCCCTTTGCCTCAATATACAACTTTAGTTCGTAGCCAAGACTGATGATCACTCTGTCCATTGCCCTCTGGACACAGGTGAGGAAACTGAGGCCTAGGGAGACACTTGTTCAGGATCCCTAGCATGTTGATATGATATTGACCAGTCCTGACCTCCCAAATGCCTATGGGCATCCTGGGGGAGGGTCCTGGGACCCCCAAGCTTGGAGGAAGGATGCAGAGCCCTGATGTGGCCCCGAGGTCTCTGGGCTGAGCAGGGGGTAGGTGATGATCTAGACTATCTGCCCTGACTCTGCTTTCTCTTCCAGGGCGGCTCCGCGCTCTCCCCCGCCGCTGTCATCAGACAGGAGAGGGCTCAGCAGCAGGCAGCTGCTTTGGCAGAGGAGGTCGGCTGCTCCACCTCGTCCATCCAAGAAATGGTATCCTGCCTCCGCCAGAAGCCTGCCAACGTCCTCAATGATGCCCAGACCAAGGTGGGCACTTGCATTCTCTGACCTTTTACAAATGGAAAACCAGGCCTAGAAGGGAGACATGAGCCACCCAAGGCCACACTGTGGACTGATGACCAGCTGGTGCCAGAATGCATGCTCCCTGACCCCCAGAACTGTGCATGGGCCCTGTATGTAATGGACCAAGCATGGGTACTGAGGTTGACAGATCTCTCTACATTGCATTTTATCCGTAAAATGCGAATAGTGATGTGGGCCTTATGGAGTAGGGGGATAAAGTGAAGTGATGTTGGTAAAGGGTCTTGCCCGTGCCAGGACTGTGGTGGCACTCTGTCAGGTCACAGCCACATGTATTGAGCGTTATGGTCATGACTGCAACGGATTGTGGCCACCATGCATGCTTAGACAGGACAGCTGTGTGCTCCCTTTCCTAGCCTGCAAAGATCCTGCTCATAGCCCACAGTCTCTGGCTGGCCCTGACGTCAATGAAGGGGACAGTAGCAGAAAGAACTGTTGTCATCTGAGCCAATGGCTTGATCCCCAGCAGTGAGCCTGGACTCACAGACCTGGAGCGGCCCTGATCCTCAACTTCCCCAAATGTGGGCTCATTGGAGACTGGCTAAAGCTGATGAATTTCCCTGCCCGATCCTGCCTTTGGCCACCACTCCCTCCTCGATTAACGTCTCCTCCTGCCTTATTCACGCACCTACAGGCTCAGTCTTACCCATTCCTCCCTGAGGATCTGTTGTCACCTCAGCAGAGAGGCTGTAGGAAGCTCCCTTGGGGACCAACCATTGCTCAGAGCGACACTCGCCTTCCAGCCCCTGGCATTGCCGCCTGATGTCCCTCCGGCTTATTCTGGTCATTTTACTCTGATTTCCCAATAGAGCCCCAAATGGATAACCAGCATCAGTGTTCATTATGGTTAAGACCTGATTAAGTGAAGCAATGAAACTGATTATTCTAGAACCATTAATAAAAAGAAAGATAAAATCCATACACATAATGGCATCCCATTGCACCCAATGCAGCTCCTGGCCGTGAGTGGCCCTTTCCAGTACTGGGGTCCTGTGGTTGACGGGCAGTACCTCCGAGAGGCTCTAGCCAGGGCACTGCAGAGGTTTCCACGGGCGAAGATCGATCTGCTTATCGGGAGTTCTCAGGATGACGGGCTCATCAACAGAGCAAAGGCCGTGAAGGTAGGCAGGGAGGAGGCCTCCCAGGTCCCCACTTGGCTGTGCTCAGTGGCTCTGGACCTCAAAGTCTGACCTTGATCAAGAGTCATCGACTTGCTTGTTTACAAAACAATCATTGAAAAACTGCTATGTGCAAAGGCTCTATAAGGAGTTGGGGAGATGGTGATGGGGGATGGGGTTCAGTAATGAGACACTTGCAGAATTGTGAGCAACACAGACACATCCACATCCACAAATTACATCTGTGGATGAATCACCGTGGGAAATAGAGAGCAGAGGCTGACCAAGGAGCTCTGTAACTTCAGGGCTGTAGGCCGTGGATACCCCTGCGCCATGAAGGATGCTTGTCCTACTGAGAATGGGAAGAAGGCAAGGCAGGTGGGTGAAGGGGCACCATCTCCCAGTCCTGGCAGGGAAACCCAAACACTAGCCTTCCAGCTGTTTTTCTTACCCAGGAAAGCGTGTACCACGCACCTGGAAAAGCAGCTTTGTATGGCTTTTTGGAGATACGGCAAAGCGGGAGGAAATTGTGAGGTCTTTTATCTGCCTGAACACACGCTTCCTGCTCTGACCAGACGCCATCGGCCCTCACTAGGATGCGGCTCCCCCTGGAAGAAGCCAAGCACCCTCCTCTGGCCTGCCCACCCCTCCTTGTCAGGCAGCTCTTGACAGGCCCTTTACATTGTCAAACCTGGGATGGTGGCCCCAGTGCATGAAACACAGTGAGAGGACGCAAACACTCAATACAGGGCTCTGTCTTGCTCTATTGAATATAAGGCAGCATAACTGGAATTAAAAAAAAAAAATCATTCACGCAACCTCACGGGACGCTGCATTCCCTTGGATTATTCTATTCCCTTGGGTAATATCTCTCACTTAGGGGAATCTATCTTACAGCACTGACAGCACCACTTTGACGTGATATATACATGAGGGTATTCATCACAGCATCAATCATTATGGCAAAACATTGGCAGCAACTCAAATGTCCATTAGCAGGGAAATGGTTGACTCATTTAAGATACACCCAAACTATTAAATATTATGCAGATGATGAAAAGAAAGAACTAGATACATCTCCACTGGCTTAAGGGATGCCTGTGATATGTCGTTAAATGGAAAACAAAAAATAAGAATGAGGAAGAGTGTGAAATTAAGTAGCATTCATATTTTAAAGAACAACCAACCTGTACATATCTATAAATGTGTAAATGTGTATAATTTTCTATGTTTCTATGTGAAAGGATAATGGTGTGGAAAGATACACAACAAGCAATTAACATGGACTATCTCAGGAGGTGTGGCAATGTGAAAAAGAATATCAGGACTTTAATATTACTACATATACATATATACATGTTATATATAACACGTATTTGTATATGTCTGTGTGTATATATGTAGAGAAAGAGTGTTGTGTTGTGTGTGTGTGTGTGTGTGTGTGTGTGTTAGGGGAGTGGGTAGAGCAGAGCTGCGTCACTATTAGCTTCCATCCAGTTGACTCATGGTCATGGAGGAAGAACTTTTGCCTTTGATCCATCTCTACGTTTTTCTGCTGAGCACCGTTGTGTAACACAGCCCTCACCTCAAGGGGCTGTAACTTGATTATTGAACCAGACTAACACTCAGGAAGCGCTGAAAAGGTGCCACTCTCCACCACTAGCCCTGAGCTTTTCTTCTCCAAAATAGTGGGTCTTCAAATTACTCTTGATCAAGTCCCTCATCAGTTAAAAAATAGATAGTATAGTCATTAAGTATAAATTATATGCATGTGTACTCCTGTACTAATATGATGAATTGGTATAAAAGATTCATAAAATCAAAAAAAAAATTAAAGGATGAGAAAGAAATGAACGTTCTTATATTTGTGCTGCACCCTCTGCATGCTCCACGCTGGGGACAATGCCCTAGAGCTTGGGCATAATGGAAAGAAATGGCCATCGGCCCTGGACCCTTTCCCATGCCGCACCTCATTTAACACAGCCCTGTGGGGGATGATATGGGAATCTTTGTGTAGAACACACTATATCCTCGCAGCTCTGATTCTTTGGACCACGTGCTGAAAATTTATCCCAGCCATCTCTGACTATAGAGAGAGAGGAAGAGATACGTTTATACTCCCGGGAGCCTGGGGGTCATCCTGGACGGGTGGGAGGAGGCCGGCCCTGGCAGCTAGTTCCCATACCCCTCCCATCCGCAGTGGAAAAGCCACCCACGGGGCTGGGGGAGGGGGTCTCTTATTGGCAGATTTGGGGCTGTGGTTGACCAGAGGGCAGCCTGAGTTTATATTTTCTGATTACGCCAGCCCGTTGTAAGAGGGTTGCCTGGTCATGTGGCTGCCTTGGTCTGTCCTGGTCCTCTCCCAGCAGCATCTTTGAGAGTTTCTCAACTCTGTCCTAAATTTCTGAGCCCCTCCAGCCAGAAGCCTGGATCCCTCTTCACCAATGCATTTCTACTCCTCTCGTTGAGTTTCCCTCAGAGGCTTTCAAGGAGACATTTCCTTGGTCCACTTGCAAAGAATGATGATGTCCACCAACAGGAGCTCACAGCCCACACCAGGACATGGCAGGGAAAGCGTGCCCTCAAGTCTGAGCACCAGAATAGGGAAACTGCTGGAAGGGCATGGCGGAGCAGTGCCCCGCCTTGTTCCACAGCTGTTATCCCGGGCAGTGCTCCCTCAGCACATTTATTCTTTTTTTTTTTTGTGAGGAAGATCAGCCCTGAGCTAACATTCATGCTAATCCTCCTCTTTTTGCTGAGGAAGACTGGCTCTGAGCTAACATCTATTGCCAATCCTCCTCCTTTTTTTTCCCCCAAAGCCCCAGTAGATAGTTGTATGTCATAGTTGCACATCCTTCTAGTTGCTGTATGTGGGACGTGGCCTCAGCATGGCCGGAGAAGCGGTGCATCGGTGTGCACCCAGGATCCGAACCTGGGCCGCCAGTAGCAGAGCATGTGCACTTAACCGCTAAGCCATGGGGCCGGCCCAGCACATTTATTCTTGTTGGACCTTTCCCTTCTTACTTCTCTTCTCTGCTCATTCTCTTGTGAACATGCCCTAGTACAGCCAGTGAGTAGTTCTTGTAAGCTGGTGTCCTGCCAGGAACCCCTCTAGGTGCTGACTGACGTGGAGAATTGAGAGGAAGAAGGATATAGTCACAGGTGGATGTGAAGCCAGCTCCACACTTTCAATGCCATTACATGCTGACATCTCCCAGATGTGTACCTGCAACCCGACTTTCCACCTCCTGCCCGGACTTTGGCCTTGAACTCTAGTCTGGTTTAGCCCAAGGTCTATTTGACTTCTTCACTTACATGTGTCATAGCTTCTCGCTCTTAACACATCCAAAATGAACTGCTGATTCCACCTATGCTCCACCCCCCAACAGCATGTTCTCCTGCTGTCCTCACCATCTCAAGGAACAGCAGCTCAGCCTCCAAACACACAGTCATTCTGGACTCGGCTCTCTCCCATCTGACCAGCTTTCTATCAGCAAATCCAGTTGGCTCTTATCTTCAAAATGTATCCAGAATCCAACCACCTCTCCCCACCTCTTCTGCCATCTCCCTGATCCAGACTATCATCTTTCTCCAGGATTTTTATAATGGCCCCCAACTATCTCCCTGCTTCTGCCTTTGCCCACTGTGATCTAGGAGAACCAGTGTGGCCAGAGCCATCCCTTTACGATATAAGTCAGATCATACCACTCCTCTTCTCAAAGCTCTCCAGTGGCCTCAGCTCACACAGAGGAGAAGCCACAGTCCTTACAATGACCACTACCTGACCTGGTCCCTGTTTGCTCTCTGATCTCACCTCTTGCTACCCTCCCCCCATTGCTTTATGCTTCAGTACAACTGGTCCCTTTGATGTTCCTCAGATATGCTGAGCACACTCCCACCTTAGGGTCTTGGCATTTGCTGTTTCCTCTTCTAGAATGTTCTTCCCCAGGTAGCTCACTGCCTCACTTCCTTCAAAGTCTGCTTCTTCAGAGAGGACATGTTTGACCACTCTGATGGAAAGGGTAGCCATATTCCCCAGAACTCCCTCCCTCTTTATCCTGCTCCCTATCCTCAGCACTTATACCCCTCGACAGGTTGTCTATTGTATTTCATCCTCAACTAGAATGTAAGCCCCATGAGCAATGAGACTTTATCGATGTTGCTTTCTGTTTTATCTCTGGTGCCTAGAGAAGTGCCTGGTACACAGTAAGTGCTCAATGAATCTTTATTAGATTGAAAGAAACAAATTATGGACAGCCACTTATGTGCCAGGATCTAACCTAGGAGTTGTCAGTGGAAAAATTCACCCCCAAACAACCCAAAACCCAAACAAGCAGGAATTATCACTATTTTCAGATGGGAAATCAGTTCAGAGAAAAGGCAGATTCAAATCCAGGTCTGCCTGACTCCAAAGGCATCCTCTTTCTGTTACAGCACTCTGGGAAAAGCCTGGCCTTCCCTCCGAGAGCTTACTGTCCACCACCGAGTGTGCTGGGTGCTCACACGTAAATGAACACAGCTAGAATAAGGGCTGCTATGTGCAAAGGGCTTTGCAGTACCCCCCACACTCTTACTTTATCTCGACCACAACAATGGGAGGTAGGCACCCATAAACTAGCATTTAACACCATTAAGTGAGGAAGAAACAGGCTTCCAGAGGTTTAATGATTGTGCCCAGGTCATCAAACTGGTCATTTGCAAAGCCAGTTTCCACTGCAGGTCCTCTGGCTCCAAATGCTTTGCCCACAACCGCATGTTTGTGAAACTCTAGAGCACAAATGGTAAATGCACTAGCACTACCGTGCCCTACCAGATGTGATCTTCACCCAGAGGAATCCTCAGAGTCCTGCCCATCACAGAACTGCAATGAGTGAACACACAAGTGGAAACTCGGCTACCAGCTGCCTCTAGACACAGTATTGAAGTTTCTCTTTTATTTCAAAGCCTCCTGCTCGTGCGTACCCTCCGGATTGCCATCCCTTGCCTCAGCCTGCTTGTACTTG